CTACACTTCGGCGAGGTAATTTTCAAACTTAATGATTTTCACATTTAATTCAGGGAGAAATTAGTCATCGGGTATTGAGACAAAGCAAGGCTCTCTTCTGTACTGGGATGCTCTCTTCTTCAAGCTGTGTTATCTCGGCAATAATTAAAATGTTCGCTGAAGTAGAAGATGTGCTATCTGATTCATTAGCCAGATTTCCCTTTGTAAGGTAACTCATGTTTGGTTATCGGAAATAGAGATGGGCTTGGAGAAGAGGGCTCCGGACGCTAATGATTCAGGAGGGAGGAACCAAGGGATCATGAAACTAAAGCAAGTGTGTGTGCATCTTACCCAGCGAATAGCTCAGCATGTCCTCCTTCACCCTTGCAGCCACCAAGGCTGGTGGGGTCCGCACAGAAGGCATTGCTTGGCTGGTGAAGCTCTGGTTGATGGGAACACAGAGGCTAAACGTGCCTGTCTCAGGCGTGAGGTCCCTTATGCCTGAGGGTAACTCCCTCAGCAAGTGAGCCAGTGTTACATGGGAATAAGAAAATGAAGGAAATATGGATGGTATGAGAAGGAAAGGCCAAGTGTGTGAGCTGGGTTAGCTTGTGTCTGAAAGCTTGCAAGAATTTGTGTGGTGCTGTGTCTAGCACTTGTGACACCCATCGGCTGGCTCAGCGTTGTGCATGGGGAGCAGGCAGGGAAAAGAGGAGGAGAAAGAACACTAGGCTTTGATTGACTTCCCTATGGGGAAAACAAAAGCAGTACTGGAAAACACAGATCCTTCAGAATTTCAGAATCATCTGTAAGATGTAAACATAATGACAGGTGACTTCTTTTTGCATCCTCCTGGTATCTGAATCTTTAGATGACGCTGTTCTGGTGTTTCACTTTGTTTTGGTGTTGCTACGTTTCATCCAGCTTGTCTGTGCAGAATAGAAAATTACTCCTGGTTTGAAGTGAGTTTGTCCTGCAGGAGAGCAGCAAGGCACCTCCAGCACTTCGAGAAGAACCTACACGAAAACACGTCTTCCCTTTTTCCTCTCTTCTAGTGATCCCCAAAGTAACTAAGCACTTGCTCTCCAATCCTGTCTTCACCTGTATCATCCTGGCAGCCTGCATGGAGATCACAGTGGTGGCTGGCTTTGCCGCCTTCCTGGGGAAGTACCTGGAGCAGCAGTTCAACCTCACCACCTCGTCTGCCAACCAGCTCCTGGGTGAGTAACCACAGGGGCCACCAAATCCAGCAGATATCCCAGCCAAACTGGGACATTTGATTGCCTGTAACTGCTAGTCGCTTTGCCAAGCAACACAGCTGCCCATCAAACTGCTTGTCTCATGGTTCAGATATCCCAGAGTTCTCCAGCCCATCTCTGTTTGGGTTAGGAAGCCCAGTTTCTCCCGCTACTCCCTCCTTTCCCATTGGACTGGAAATGATGGGATTGCAATCAGCAGTTCCAACAGCTGAGCTAGTGCAGCTCAGTTGTTTTCCCTTCTCTCTGACCACACTATGCTGCTGCAGTTTCTCACATATAGATATTTCTCAACATTCACTCATTCCCTGTCAGGACACTGATGTACAGGCAGGATCTTCATTTATTTTCTCCTGCTGCTCATTCCCAAGCAGGCCCAGCGATTTGTTTATGACAGCCTTTCTCTCAGCAGCACCTGATTGAGATACCTGTGAGGTGATCTTGGATGATCTGCAACTGCAGCTCACCAGTTGGGCGGCTGGCAGTGATCTGTCAAAAACTGGGACGTCGTGAAATGGATGGATCTTCATATCAAAATAAGGAGCTTGCAAGCTGCTCTCCTGACAGTTATTTTTTTTCCAATTGAACTCATTGATATCTTTTGGGTTTGGCCTGGTTTACCAAAAGAAAATGTCTCCTGCAGTCAGTCTTGCCTCCTCCAGAGGAACTCACTGGTGAATTTTAATTCCTATTTTCAAATGTGACTATTGCCTGTCTCTGAAGATCAGACTGCTGTGAAGTGTACCAAGCAGGGCTCATCCAAAGCCTCTATAGACACCTGGGCACATTCTTGACTTTGTCTGACAACTGTTGCAGGAAGCATTAGGGATGCTGCTGCTTAGGTTAGGGTGGGCCAATCTCAGTAATTTTGGCATCTGCCTCCAATATGGACAAGAACTGGAAGAAGATTGGTGGTTCCTCTGCAAGGGAGCATACCCCTTTGCATCCGTTCTTCTCTTTTTGGGCAACCCCAGCATGGTGCTACTCCAGCAGTTGGTCATTACAAGGTTTCCCCATGATAGTGCAGAGACCTCTCTGCTGGAAAGTAAAAAGCTGTAATAGTGTGGTTTGATGAACCTCATTCACACTTGACTAACCGATTTTTCCTCTTGCAGGGATGACAGCAATCCCATGCGCGTGTCTGGGCATATTCCTGGGTGGTCTCTTGGTGAAGAAGCTCAGCCTGTCTGCTCTGGGAGCCATCAGAATGGCCATGCTGGTGAACCTGGTGTCCACAGCTTGCTACGTGTCTTTCCTGTTCCTGGGATGCGACACAGGACCTGTGGCGGGAGTTACTGTTCCCTATGGAAACAAGTGAGTCCCCAGAGAGTTTTGGGGTCTCACACAGCCTTACCAACACAAATGACATGTTTTTGTCCTCCACAGGCAGCCTTCAGGCAGCGCTGGCCCTTAGACAACCATATAGAGCAAGCAATATAGAAGGCAGTATATTTATTTAAGTGCCTGAGGGGAATTTGTAGAACCGAGTTTTAGATGCTTGGAAATTCAGATATGGTGAGGAGACAGTATGCATGGCTCCAGGCTCATTTTGATGGGAGAAATGAGGCACATGGTGCCCTTTAGCATTCACAGGGCTTGGAGAGAGTTATTCTGTATTCTCTTTTCTCGTACTTCTCAATATGCAGTGGTGACTCTAGAAGATGACAACTTCAGGCTCTCAGCTCCTCATGGTTACTGTTCTAGAAAAATACAGAATGATCTCCGCAGCATTTCTGTGGGTTTCCTTGAGGCGTCTTGTTGGGGTAACAAGGCAGCCCAAGCTTCCCATTAAATTCCTTGTTGCAGAGGGATAGTGGTCATGGTGTTTTTGTCCCCAAGGAGAGGGTGTATCCTGGATTTCTTAAAGCTGGAACACAGCTAGCCTGCCCACTGCTTTTTGTAACTTGTTTGCCTTAACTACCCCTGTTCAAAGCTATCTTTGTGTGGCACTGAATGGGAAAGCAGGCTGATAGCATTACACTCATGGGTGATATAATGTCTCTTTCTGTTTCTCTTACAGCTCAACTCCAACCTCATCTCTGGACCCATATTCCCCCTGCAATAACAACTGTGAATGCCAAACTGATTCCTTCACTCCAGTCTGTGGGGCAGACGGGGTCACATACTTATCTGCCTGCTTTGCTGGCTGCAGCAGCACGGTGAGTGGCCTTTCCCTGGGACCTGTAGGAACAGTTCTGTGAGCGCAAGTGTGTGAGGTTAGTGCGTATCTGGTAGAGTAGCTCGTTCACAGCCAGCAGTGGTTACACCCCCAAAAGCTGACCTCACACCTCAGATGACCCTGAGCCACTATTGTTTTTCACTCCGTCCCATAAATGCCTGCTTGCTCTGCCAGGGTCACCCCCAGAGCAGGATGGCATTTCCCATCCTCCTTCTCCTCTGGGCTTTCTCCTCAGCAGAGAAACACAAGAGGACATCTACACAGTCATTCACTGGGAGAACCCAGATCCTCTGTAAGAGCTCGCTAGCGTGGGCTGTGGGACCAGCTTCTTTTTTCTCCTGCTGCTCCCCGTCTCCATGCTTCTCCACCTGCCCGTGTTTTTCCTACCCAATCCTTTTATTCTTTTTCCTCTT